GTATGAAATTTTCTAAACTCAAAACCTTACTTCAATGTTCGTGGCGAACCGGAAAACCGCCCCAAGCACGCCTTTAGTGCGCTTGGTGGGATGGGACCCCGGTGCGGCACCTACGGCGAGGCGGGGTCGCTCATAAGTACCCCCGGGCGGGGGGAAATCAAAAAAATTGCTTTTTCAAAAAAATGCTTTTTAAAACCCCAAGCACGCCTTTAGTGCGCGTGGTGGGAGAAAAAAAACAAAAATACAACCGCCGCGGTGTCTCACCAACACCAACCGTGCACGTCTTTAGTTACGTGGCGGGTAGGCGGCCTCTTGGTTTTTCCCCTTAACGGGGGAGACGCCGGTGCCGAAATTTTGTCTGAAATATAGACAAGGACTTGGAACAAATGGGACTTATGGATTTGATTCAAATAGACCTAATTGAACTTAAACTCAAATAAATTTTGAAAATATAAGATTTAGAGCTTATATTTGATTTAAAAATCAAATGATTACAACAATGAGCTTGAACTCAAGTGAACTTGAGCTTGACCCGAACTTGCAAGATGAACTTTTACAAAACAAGATATGGACTACTTGAACTCAAAGGAGATTGGTGCAATGAGTTTTGAACATAACTTGAACTTGCAAGAACTACAGGATACTCGAATGAAGGGGAAGAGGCTCATCTTAAGCCTGAACTGTATCCAGACTTGAACTTGATTGAACCAAATTGACTTAAGTGAACTTAAACAATTCAAATTGAAATTGAACAATTACAAAGGATTGTGCTTAAGTTTGATTGGGACACATCAAATCACATTTGGGCTCAAACTCAAATGAAAATGAGACTTGAATTTGCACATTGAAAGACAAGGAACTCGAGCTCGGGGGACTTGATTTAAACATTGAGCCAATTTGCACTTAGGCTCATATTTGATTTAAAATCAAATGAAATGAACATAAGATCTGTTATGATTTTCAATCCATCAAACTATAAGTGATAATAAGTGCCTCTTATGTTCTACAAAGGATTTCTCTTCGAAGACATTTGGCATACTAGTAGGTGTACGACAAATGTGGTAGCATTCCAATCAAGGTGCTAATAAAGAAATGGAGTTCCCAAATAAATGTTGAAAAGCTCTTGTACCAATCAAAATGCAAGCTAATAACTACTTCCAAGGGCAACTAGAAGCTTATGAGATTCAACATATTTCTCACATAAGCGACATATTTTCAAAGTAGATGAGGGAGAAATACAATAGTGAAGAAGCGGTCCATAAGCAAAGCAAGGGAGATGTAGAAGAAGCGGATTCTTTGATTATCAATTCAGACTAATATATAAATGAGCACACAACAGTATACTTTCAAATGAGAAGAATAAATGTACTACAAGACCCTTGATTTACATATAGCCAACATGAAATCTGCGGTGTTCCTACTAATCGACCAACGAACTCGTATGCTGAAGATTAGAAGCCCTAATGAAGAAAACTATTAGTCGATGCAACGATTGACATACAACAGATATAAGCACCCGCAAACTCTTGTATCAAGGGTATTCTAGAATCCTAGTAGTCAACATCGAAATTCAAACATATAAATTGACTTTCATGCAATCAAGGATAAGAAGATCTGCAACGTATACAATCTCTCTACGAAAATAAATGTATGTGTAAGCCACTGATGGGTAGATGCAGAAAGACTTCAGTAAGTGCAGTATCCTTAAGTCAATTTCAATATATGGAGTACATCTACCTGCCTACCTATAGCAGTAGCGGATATACTATACGAGATCAAATACAACAACAAAACACATGAAGAATACGACAAATGCAATCTCTTACGATCTAAAAGCAGGAGACTCGTTAGTCCACTACGATCCATCTACAGAAAGCAACAAGTAATGCACGACAGTCTACTCGTACAAAGCAGCGAACAACTCTATTCAGAAGCTGCTATGTCATGCCACTGGATCTGCAACCTCCGTACAAGCAGACAGAAGGCGTCTACAAACACTTTCAAAATATCCCCGCACGTGCACAATAGTTTGTATACACATAGGCACATTAAAAGGGGTAAATGTAATCAAATACCCGCATGAGCCCCGACGAGCGTGTTATTGGTATACACGTGACGTCTAGGGATGCTGCGCGGGTCAACAAGTGAATTCAAATTCGAACCCGATCCTTCTATACTGATCAATAGGAGTCGTCAGGGTTCGAACCATTAAGCAAATATATGGCCGTGGAGACCAGAATATTTGTTTTAATACATTCATATTAGGCCTTCAAAGCCTAAAATTAAAAGAATTCACTCTCAAAGCCATAAAGCCTACGAAACCCGATCCTTTGTTGACAGCCAGACAGAGTCGATAAGGTTCAAGCTTTAAATGGAAATAACCTCTAACACCCTGATGATGGCCGTGTTGAATGTTTATCTCAACCAAAGGAGTTCACAAACGTTTCAAATGGCTCCTTAATATCCAAATGTCTTCCAAGCTCCACCCAAAAATTCAAATCTCAGAAAATCCCAAAATCCCAAAAATATTTAAAAATGAAATTATCCATCTCAACACTCAAAGCAAAATCCATCCATCCTCCGCAACAGTCTGTCGGGGTGGACAAATTCAAATAAACTCTAGCTCACAAAGAGCCAAATGCCTAGTCGAAAATATCACTAGGATCCATTCTCAAACAATCTCTTGCCAGTAAGGACGTGGTACGTGTCCTCTAACGGCAGTTTCGCCGCCAAATGGCACTGCAGGTAAACGGTATGACCCGGGACCCTCTAAAACGAGTGGTTTTGCCGCCAAATGGCACCACAGATAGCGGTTATGGCCAGAGCCAATACGCTCCTTAGTGGCGTTAAATCCTTGAGACATGAATCAATAGGATATAATTGATAGGGAACAAAGCCCTCTGTTAGCTTAAGGTGGATTCAAACTTGTCCCCTTAGAACAAACATTCAACCTCGGTCTACAAGGTTCCCTTGGACGAAGCAACCATGGCTGCCGACAAGGATCCTTCTGTCAGGTTGGCTCGACTCACTCCTCTGACTAAGTAAACAAGGGACCATGATGGCCGGGACGACGGAACCATGGGATGTTGATCGGGTCTATCATCCATTTCCCCACCATCCGCTTTAAGTGCAGGATGATGAAATTTCTATTTAAATATCAAATCTTCCAACCTAAAATCCAAAAACCCAACTCTTCAATTCCCCAAATCCAAACTTTTCAAATTCTTATATCCATGCTGCTACTATATGCCAAATAACACGTATTCTATACGTATCTGATTGACGACTAGCCTTAATCGAAAGTTCTCTCTCCGTGATCGGGAGGGGTAATTAACTATAGGGGCTTGCGCCTATAGAAACTAGAACTCAGATCATAAAGTCCTCGCAAAATGAGGACGAAATCTCTGGGTAGTGTCTTATCTACAAACCCATATGCCTTCCAAAATTTACCCTGGAATTATTCAGTTAAAACTCCCTCGCCGAATAAAAAGAAAAGTGAGCGGAGGCCGGGGCCGAATTTTCGGAGCCCACAACTGTTCGTTTGCTCCTCTTCATCGCTTTTTAGGAGTTACTTGCGTGTCTCCGATGCTCTTACCCCTGTTATCTCGTCGTCTCCGATTCTCTTACCCCTGCCATCTCATCGTCCTGTATAAGCTGCTCAACTTGTCATCCTAAATCCTTTGACGTGCAACTTGTTGTGCCTTCGCGAGTTTGCCTGTGGAGTGTGGATTATCCTGATGTTTTGACTTTGCTGAGGGCCATTCTTGCCCTGCCTTACGTTGACTTATTTGATTTTTTTTATGCGTGAGTGCTTCTATAGGTTTTGAAATAAATTATTAACAAAGATAAACTTTTCAAAATACCCAAATTGTATGCCTCATCCAAAACATTGCCGCCAAATCACGCAACATTTCCATCAAATTCATCCTTTTATTTTGATTGCGGGGCTTTTCGGCTCTTATTTAAAGAGTATAGTGGCGAAATGAGGCTTTTTTTAATATAAGTTGGGGCTCTCTCCTATAATTTAGAATCATTTGGATCATTTTCTCTGTGTTGTAATTAACATGAGGAAGGATAAATTAAAAGAAAGGTTGTATTGGAGAAGTTGAGATAAATATCTATAGAAGTTAAATTATTGGAAGATAAACTTTTAGATGGTTTGGGCATGTAGAATAGAGGGTAAAATATGCACTATTAAAATGTTGGATAAAATCAATATGAACAGACCATGAAAGAGAAATGGTATATATAAAATAATTAGATTTTATGCAAAAAAAAATGCCAAATAAGATTAATAGTTGTGATACTCAACAGGAATGCATGAAAAATGCTATATGATAAAATTGAACCCAAATTGGGATATGTCAATGATGTTGACGATGGTGGCGTGGCAGTTACTTATCATTCTCAATTCCTAATGATGTTGATGATGTTTTATTCTTTTCCCTTTCTTTTTCCCACTTCAATTCATGATTGATTGACAGTATGACTAATTTATTTTTCAGATTTGTATTATGTTTGGCTTCATTGATATGCATAATGCATCAATTAATGTGATTTTCATGATTCTTTTCTTATAATTGATTTTATTAATAGATCAAAATTTTCACTAGAAACTCTTAGTTGTTTCTTTCAATTCACATATGTAGTAGTGATTAATTAACTATGTTGTTTAGTTTGCTTCTCTAGGAGATTTGCATGTTTATCCTTGTAATTGCAGTAAATTATTTACAGTTCATCTAAAAAAAAGCCCTACTTTGTATAGTAGATTTGCATTAGAAACTCTAAGGCTTCGTTTGGGACGGCTTTTTTATTACTTCTTAAAGCAGCTCTCTAATAAAAAAAAATTTAATTTTTGTACTAAAAAACTACTTTAAGAAGCAATAAAAAAATTATCCCAAATGAAGCTTAAATCGACTTACAGCACCAGAAACTTTCTTTCATGCTACTTGCACCATCTATCACATATATTTAAGAATTTGCTCGAATTGTTCATGCAGCTTGCAGCAGTTGCTGCTCTATGCGTGCAATATGAAGCTGAGTTCAGGCCTAATATGAGCATTGTAGTTAAAGCGCTATCTCCCCTCCTTGTGAATAAGCAGTCCTTACCACAGCCAGATCCTGCTACAGCAGCTGCTGATGGTTGAATCCTGCAACTTTTGTTCATTGTTCTGCTTCAGTTAGACTGGTAAAAGCTTTAATTTCAATTTTCTCCTTAACCTTTCTTTCTGATCTCTTGCTTAGTTTTATTTACTAGAATTTTACTCGTGCTGCAGGTTCTGTAAATCTGCTAAAGTATTGTTTGATTTGGGAACTTATTGCATTTTTTTTCTTTAGCATTGTTGCAAATTTTCTTCTTGGAGTGCTGTGTGTTCTTTTACATGGAGATAATAATGTAAACGTTTGATTTTTGTGAATTGCGAGGTGTTGTTGGGCAAGAAGCTTAATGATGACTAAGCAAGAACTTATCTTTTAGTCCAAAATACTAGTTATAAATTCAATTGAGAGCTTTATTGTGGCTTAACTTGGAGGATGCAATTGTAGCATGCTAATATGATGAGCCTGCACTCAAATCATCATGGATCTTCGGTCTCGTTTGGGACGACTTTTTTATTGCTTATTAAAACAGCTTTTTAGTAAAAAATCATACTAAAAATTGCTTTAATAAGCTGCTAAAAAACTGTCCCAAATGAAATCTTCATCGCAATTTGCAAAGGAAGGATACGAGTATGTGAGTGCAGCTCAAGCTCAACATCAAGCTCTAATATGATCTTATGCTCTAGCATGACCTCATGTTCAACTTGGGCATTATATTAGGCTAAAGCTTGGGCACAATATTTGGCTCAAATTTAGTATGTGTGATAGATTTTCCTCATCAACATGGGTGTATAAATGGAGGTGTTGTGATTGATAGGCTATTGGGTTATGTGGATCTTTTGGAAGTATGGGTATTGTTAGGGTAGAGTAATTTTATGGAACAATTGCCTTTCATCTATACTTTTGAGGGCAAGTTAATTTTCTATTACTTGAAATTTTTTATGGCCTTCAATGACCTCTTTGTGTGGATACAATGACTATGGTTTTGTTTGGGGGAGATTTTTGTCACTATTTTTTGTTGCTTTAAAAAAAAGTTATACTATAAAATTATTTTTAATAATAATAATGTCCCAAATGGAGCCAAACGAAGCCTATATCATCAAACTTGTTGCTTAAAAGGCAAAAAGAGAGCATCTTTCAAAGGATAAATTATTGCGTGCAGAGTCTCGGACATAGAGTTGTGTTTGAACTCAAATCAAATCGAGATGCATGACAAATACGCAATAACATGTGGTTAATACATAGTTTTTTATATTACTGTCTGTTAGTTGTCTATTATTTATGTAATTAATATACAATTAATACATAGTAATATAAAAAATATATATTGGTCATATGTTCACATTTGATTGGAGTTTGGACGTATTTGTATATCTGGATTCTGCATGTAATAATTTCTCCTCATAAGCGGGCTAATTGGGATTATTTTATTTTTATTTTTGTTTTATTTATATTTTAATATGCAATAAAAATAGATTTGATATCTTAAAAATGAATTATTATTTTATTGTATATTATAAAAAGGGGTGGTGACAAAACATTGATGGTGGTAGCTGGTGGTGATAATTTATGGCTAGCAAGTGCATGTGATAGCTCGAGGGGTTTTCAATTAAAGAAAATAAACAAAATTAAAGAAACTTTAGTTTTCATTCATTTAAACAAAATTAAACTATCAAAATCCTTACGAATATAGATTTAGCTATTATTTAGTACAAATACATTTTACTTAAGTTTCATATGTAAACTAAGGTACTCTTTTTAGGATTATACTACAAAATGATTGTTAATGAATTGTTATTTTGTTTCCTTTGGTTCACCAATTTCTTTTTTGTTTTTTAATTTGATATGATGGATATTAATATAAGAATTACATCTTGTTTGAAATTTTGAGTAAATTAAATCACGACCTCATGCACACATCTACATATGTTAAGCTCGAAACTTGAAATCATATGGTTAGAACCAAAGCATCAAATCAACCAGGCCAAAATGAAATTCATTAGTTTCGTACGACAAAAATAAAAACAACATCAAGTCTTTATCGCACTACGTGAGGTCAGCTACATGAATCATTTTTCTCCATTGTGTCATATTAAGCATTAAATTCTTATTTAAATCTAATAAATAAAGATCATTCTAATGTTTTCTAACCATGTCTTTTTAGGTCTACATCTACCTCTCTTAACATAGGCCAAATCTATTACATCTACTCTCCTAACCGGGTCATTAGAAGGTCAATGTTTTATACGACCAAATCCTCTAAGTTGACTCTCTCTAATCTTATCCATCTGAGCATCATCATCTCAGCAACACTTAACTTAATTGTATATTTCTCTTTTACTAGCCAACCATCTGCACCATAAAACATTGCACGTCTCACTATCATCTTATAGAATTTTCTCTTAAGTTTGTAAGGTACTTTTCTATCTCACAATAGGCCTGATATATTTCTCCACTTCAACCATCTAACTTGAATTCTACTAATAATATCCCCATTTGTTTCACCGTCACTCGGAACAATAAACCCAAGATATCAAAGATGTGTATTCTTATTAATGACTTGATTGCCCAAAGTCACAATCCCCCACTAGATCTATTACCATTAAAATTACACTCTATGTATTCAATTTTAGATCTACTCAAACGTAAACCTTTAGACTTTAATATTAGTTGTGTAAGATGCAACAAAAATTATATTATATATACTGAGCACTACTTTCTCCCCATTTTTAACCAAAAAATTCTCATTTTCTTTATTTGATTGATAAGCACACTATGATTTGATTAAGTAATTTAAATCCTCCCAAATTACCATCCTAATAAAGGATCCCTCCGTCAAATCTACATTAGATTATTTAGTGATTTTTTTTTTTCAAAATTGGAATAATATTATTGCTAGTTACATTAAAGATATTATTGTGAAATTTTAGGAGATTTATAAATAGATCTTATACTAATAAGAAGATTTGATGATAGAGTGAGAAGGTACAATGAGTTACTAAAAATAATAATATTTTTAAATTTGAAATTAATTAAATGTTAATAATGATTATAAAAAACTACTTAGTATTACAAAAAGGATAGTGAATAAAGTAAAAATATATATATCATAATTTGATACTAAAGAATGAAAATAATGTGATATATATAATGACTAAAATTAAATGCATTAAAATTGAAGATTGTTGCGGGCTAGAATATACGCGGCGGTAGAGTTTGCAAATTCACGTTTGAGCGTTGTATGAATATTCAGCACACAAACATAAAAGGAAGTGAACACCAGGATTTTTATTTGGAAAACCCTGAAAAGGAGAAAAACCACGGGGCCACGTCCAGTTGAAAAGTTCCACTAGTGTTGCATAAATTACAAGAAGCTGATTCGTCTCACAAGTTAGGACAATCATATGACACTAAGTTTCTCCTAAATTAAATCAAATTTGTTCAAAATCTCGGCGTTTCCCGAAAATCCCGCAGAATTCCGGCGTATTCAGGCGGCGGAAAGAACTCCGGCGGTGGTCGAGGAGCTGACTCTCCTCCTTCTCTTCTCTTCTTCTCTCTCTTCTCACTTGAGTCCTCTTGTGAATAATGAGGGCTCTATTTATAGTTTTTCTATAGTGGCATGACTTGTAAATAGGTGTGAGATCATGGGCGAATAGGGAGTGGTCGAATGGACGGTTGATGTTGAATCCTTCGATCATGCACCGTTCGTTGGACATTTGAAGGTCTTAGTGATGTTGGAATTCGGTGATCTTGGGCTCATTGGATTCGTCTCGTCGAGCCGTTCGATTCGAGTATAAGCTCGTTAAAATTGGAGTTCGTTTGGAAACTTAAATTGCGATTCGAACCTTCCAACACACTTCGAGTCTTCGATTTAGACTCATTTGGACTCAGATTGAGTTGAATTTGGTGTCGTTGGGTTCGTATTTCTGAGATGCTCAGTTTGACTATAAGCGCGCTGAAATCGGAGTTCAGGTGCTCCCAAATTTAATTTTTGAAAGTTTCTAGTTGGTTTTTGCCTCGAGATTCGTACCCGATCAAGATGATTTCATGACGGCGTATCAAAGATAATAGATATTAATTAAATATGATCATAAATTATTAAATAACTGCTTTAAAAATATTATTTTGGATGAGCATAATGAATATAATGAAGTATTTTATAATTTGATCCTAAAAATGAAATTAATTTCGTTATACCACAGATAAAACTTTAGTTTAAAAAAAGATATATTGAGATTTGAAAATTATGTGAGATATTATAATAATTTAATTAGGGAATCTCTTACAAAATTTTAAATACTAAGATAAAATCAAATTGATAATGTGATAGCTCATGGAAATTTTTGTGATAACTCATGGAGAGAGAGAGAGGAAAAAAAATGAAAAATCTTTATATATTTTTTATTGATAATGTGATAGTTTATGATCAAGTACTAAATTGACTTAACTCGAATGCTTTAAAACACAAAAAATTGTTCTAGCATCAGACCATGGAAAGGCCAAATGAACCACCTGTTAAACCGTGTAACTGACAAACCAGCCAAATCTGAAAGAACCATCTGATTCAAAAACGTAAGTAAAGGGAGCCGTTGATTACAAATCAGAGGGTCAAAATCGAACCTCACAAATTTTTGGTTACTAACTAAAATCATATAACCCAAAGCTGCTTAGTCCGCAGTTTCCTACCTTTCTTCCTCCCAGGTCATGACCATCCTCTCTTGTTCACGTATAGCCATATTTGTCAATTCTTCTTCAATATTCTGATAATCGCGCTCCTCACAAGCAACCCATTTCATCCCATGTTCATCGTTTTAACTCTCATCGACTATGGCAAAAGCCACAGAATTCATCACAGGTCACAAATGTCGTAGGTTCATCGGTTTGCTCACATCCAAAATAATACTTTCTATTACTTTTTTTTTTTTTCAATTTACTTCATCACTAGAGCTTGGATTAGCAATCTTACTTTTGGTTTGGTAGCTTCTAGTGTCCTCTAATGAATAGGATATGGGCATTCAAAATTTGCTGCTCCAATTTTAATATTCTAACATCACTATGTTCAACTAATCTCTATGAGAAAAGTTTAACTATAAATATTTAAGTTGTAGAAATTAAGTTTATATTGTGCTATCTTTTCTACTTATACGCTGCAACTATTGTCATTTAGAGAAATTCAATATTTTATCTCAATATTTGGAATGGATAAACAAAATAATTAACCTGCTTCTTCAACTCATAGTGTGCAGGAGAAGGTAGATATTGCTTGGAATAATTTTGCTGAGTGTAAAGGTTCTAATGGTAGAAAAAAATTTAAATATCTTCATTACAGAACCACTTACAAGTGTTGAGACATTAATAGGATGAAACAACACCTGACAGAGATTAATGGTAATATTTCTTCTTGTAAGAAATTCCCATATGATATCCGTAATTTGATGAAACAAAATTTGATTGAATAATAAAGAGAAAGCAACAAGCACAAGAGTACTTGGCGCTGAGTGCAAAAGTGTTTGTTAATGATCTAGTAGCGAAAGAAAGTTATTCATGTTCATTCTAAAAATCACTATGCACAATACAAAATGATTGATAAAAGAAAAGAAAAATTGATGAAATAGATAATTTTTTAACATCCATAATAAAATTAGGATCTTAACCATCATTGAAAGGTGTAATGACATTTAAGGATGCAATATACCATTCTCATTTGGCACTTACAATGTGGTTTATGACAACTGCATTCCATTCAATGCTTTAAATTTATCATTTGCATAGAAGGTTATTGATCCAATTGTTGTAATTTGACTTAGTTATAAGGCTCCCTCTTACTACAAATTGTGATTGAATCTATGATGAGATTATGGAGTAGAATGCAAACTGTTAATAGAATCTTCTAGAAGAACATGAAAAGAAATATGTTATACATTGATGGCTGATGGTTTGACAAATACAAAAAGTAGAACATTGATAAATTTTCTTGTGTATTATTCATGTGGAGTTTCATTTTTGAAATATGTACATGCATTTAATATCTTGAAAGATGCAATAACAGTACATTCATTATTTGTTGATGTTATTGAATGAGTTGATCTAAAAAATATTATACATTTTGTGACAGATCGATAACAAAACAAATTATAAGAAGGATAATGATTGCATGAAAATTTTGGTAACATATATTAGTTATCTCATATGCTACACATTGCATAAATTTTATTCTCAAAGATATTAGTAACATGCTTCAATTATGAAACTCGTAAAAAAAGCTTCAATGTTTATAATTGTTATTTATAATCACGTTTTTTATTAGGCTAGTTAAGAAAAAGAGCATGTTAGACAAGAAATAACAAGATTTGCAATAACATTCATTATCTTAAGAAGTGTGTATGACCACAAATATGATTTGCAAGCATTTATCACTAGTAAGTCATACATTGACTCAAAGTTATTTAAAACAATGAAGGGAAAGGTGGTTTCCTCTATTATTCTTTATGTAATATTTTAGAATGATTGTTTAGAAATTTCTAAATTATTAGCACCTCTAATTAGGCTGTTACAAATTATTGATGCAGATGAAAAGCTTTAACTTGGATACCTTTATGATGATATGTATAGAGCTAGAAAATCTATAAAGACTATGTTAAAAAATATGTATAAGCCATATGCTAATATCATAGAGAGAAGATGTGATAATCAACTAAGATGGGAGATACATTCAACAACTTATTTTCTCAACCATCATTTTTAATATGATTGAGAAAATTACTGCAACAAATCTTAAGTTATGCAATCTTTAATTGAATTGATTGGTAATAAAGACATGTCCTAAACCAACTTTAACAATGAACAAGGTGAAGCATTTTAATGATAACTTAAAAAGTTTTGGGAAGTCAATTGTATTAACAATGTCAAAGGAAATGCTACAATAGTAATATAACAAAAATTTAATATTGCATTTTACTTTTTAATTGAGCTATGATGATTTTGTTTATATCAAACACATTTGATTAAACTATTATATGTTTGTTGATTTGTAGATAAATGATAGAAGATGTTCAGCTCTAGTGCTTCAAATCTATGCAAAATTATTGTTAAATTTTTTAGTCAAATATCATCTTCATCTAGCTATGAAATAAACTAGAATATTTTGTTTGAGTAGATTCATACTAAAAGACAAAATTATCTTGAGCACCAAAGGCTAAATGATCTTATATATATTCATTGCAATCTCAATTTAAGGATGTGTATTATTTGCAAGTACATTTAAACTTATTTTTAAATAAAGGTGCAAATTATATTTACAATTTTTCTTATTAATTATATATTGGTTCTAGCTTAAAAAAGAAGTTAAAATCCTTTGGCCTGCACAAGTATTGAACTTGTTGACTTTTGGATCCTCGATGATGTGCTAACTTCAGAACTTAATTTAGAAGACTTTGAGGCATAAACTTGTAAAGAGGATGCAATTTCTATAGTTATATAATCAAACATAACACTAATTGGACTAACTTCAAGAAAGATTATAGATTAATTTATATTTTTTGGGTGTAATATAAAACACAAACTTATTTTTTCATATCAATAATTTGCAGATGAAGGCAATTTAATTAATATAGGTTATGGAAATGACATACTTGCACGTGAGGATGCTGAAGTATTTGGGCTGAAAGATTTTAGTAAAGGAAGATTTGAGGATGTATCATTTGATCACATAAATTTAACAGATGATTATAGGTTCACTAGGAGTTTTGAGTTTTTGTGTAAACTAATATGAACAATTGAATGAAAACTATTACTTTTTTATCTCAATATTATATATTTCTCATTTCATTGTCTTAAAAATTTTTTATAGCATATATATAGTTTGATTATTATGCTTCACTTTATATTACTTGTATTAAATATCATTTAATTGATATTCATTTTCTTTTGTTTATTTCATTTTTAACAATTTCACATGTTAGAGAAAGATAAATGAAGATTTCATGAAAAAAATTATACGTGAACTTATGAAAAACATGTTAGTTATTCAATACTTCATGTATGTCTTCGATTAAAAAAGGTATTCATTCATGTTTTAAGTTTCATGATCATTTATTTATTTTTTTAGTCACATTTTTTATATGATTGCATCATTTTATATGAATTATGCTATATTTTAAAAAAAAATAGTATTTATTACATCATCCGATTTGTCCCTCATACGACCCGAACAATTGAATAATGAATATCTCCTTCTTCCATATCATTGTTTGGTCTAATTTTTACAGCCTTAATAATTAATGAGACATATGTTACATTCATAACCACAAAAATTAGAACAATGCTAAAAATATTCAAAGAATAGATTTCTTAGAATTAATATAGCAAAGATTGACTGTATGATATGTAAGTTTAATGTATATGATATTAATGATTATCATTTTTATAATATTAGAAGATAAGGGATGTTTATATATATATATATAATCATTAAAGCTAAATATATTATAATAAAAGTATAAATGATGATAATTAATCATTATTATTATTTATTCACAACTACTAGAAAAAAATTGTTTTATTATTCAAAACTTTTAGTAATGAAGTATTTAATTAAGCCTCTTAGAATAATTTTAATTGTTTAGTTATAAATATATTTATATTAAAAAAATTTATTATAAATAATAAATTCATAATTATAGAAATCAATTATCTTATATCAAAAATATAAAATATTAATTTTAGTATTTATTTATATAATTTTTAATTACCCATTTAATCAGTAAAATTTATTAATTCTAATTAGCATTTTAATATATATTTAACATATAAATTTATCATATTAATTTCCTTAATATTATACTTAATAATATATTAAATATTTATCAAATATTATATTAAATTATATTTTATATAAAAAATGCAAAATAGTTTAGAATTTTCGTAGAGAACCAAAAATTGTTCATTGTTTTCTTTAGAAAACACACAACGTTTTCTTATTTAAAAAAAAAAAAACTTATTTGAATTTTCTCCTAAAATCTAAATCAGTTTTGTGATTTTGATTTTTTAATTATATATTTAAAATTAAACATATTAGGTGATACTCTTAAAAAAGAATTTTTATTAAGTCCGGACACCTGACGTAGCTCTACATCCGAACGCCAATAAAATGTCGCCACGTACTCTTACTCTTTTTACCGCGCGGCCAGACGACCCGACCCGAACCGGAACCCAATATTGCTATGTATTAGCTGATTTGTACATACCAGAATATTGATAGGTTTTGCTCGGTATTGCTCGGTAACGAGAAATACCATTTTGTCAAGACCAATACCTAGCAATACCGAGCAATACTCCTGTTTTTCTAGGTATTGCTTGGTATTGCTAGGTATTGTTCGGTATTGATCTTGACAGAGCGGTATTTCTCGTTATTGTCAAGCAATACCTAACAATATCGAGCAATACCTAGCAATACACGAACATAGCAATACCGGGTTTCCGTTCTGGGTCGGGTCGTTGGGCCGTGCGGTAAAGAGTAAGAGCACGTGACGATATTTTATTGACGTCCGGATGTAGAGCTACATAAGATGTTCGGACCTAATAAAAATTCCTCAAAAAATAGCCATGAGAATATTCATTGTGAATTTAGATTTTTGCGCCCAAAAAAAAATGAAGAACGTAAGCGCCTTTTTGCGGGGTAGCTAGACAGCTAGTAGCACGAGGAGCCGAACGCCATTCCATTTCCAGATTTTTCCTCTTACAAATCCGATCACGCCATCGTTCTCGTCGCCCTCTTTTGTGTTGATTTTATCGCTCTTGATCTCTCTCAGGCAGTCAACATTGCTGTGTTCTTCGGGGTAGAAAAAGATGCTTATGATTCGTTCTCTTCGCACCCAGCTGGGGCCTTGGGCTTCTCGCGCCTCCTTCTCCACCTCCGCCGCCGCTGTTGAAGCGGAGAGGACGATCCGTGACGGTTACCGGAACGATTGGAGCAAGGAGGAGATTAAATCGATCTACGATTCACCCATCCTTGATCTCGTTTTCCATGGTGTAAGTCCGTGGATTTCAAAATTATTCTAGTTATTTCGCTTTCTTTTCTTAAAGTGTTATTGTTGTATGTGTCCTTGTGTTTCTTATCTCTCACATTTTCCACTGAATCGTTTTTTTTGACGTGTTTTCTCCTCCTGTTCTGGAGCAATTGCTATCACTTGCAAATGTCTTCAGCTTGACATTCTATGTTGGTGCTTTTGGGTATAATGTGAAGCAGCCCTTGGCTAGGGATGTGAAATTTTGTAGTAAAATCTTGTGTTTGAGTGGATTAGTGGCGTATCTTATACAATTATGCAATTTGCATTGTTTCTCTTTGTGTTCTTTAATTTTTTTCCCCAAAAATGACCCTGCCCCGAAAACACGGACAATTGCACGCATCGCCTGGTTTACTGCGAAGCATGCGCAAACTTATGTTTTATTGGTTTTACGTCTAATGCCTTTAGTTGGTTCTCGTTGGTCTATGAGCCATTGTATTAGTGATAGTTCAAATGAATGCATGTGTTTCCTTTGAACTGTGAAACGTTAAGTGCACCAGGTGCTTTTGGCTGTGTTTGGTTTGATAGATATCTCGGAAAAGGGAAAGAAGGGTGATTTAGAGAAGAAGTTAATTTTTTTTTAATATTTGGTTACGAATGGGAATTCAAATAAAAAAATGATAAAAGTTTGACGGATGTATCTAATATCATAAATGATGGGTACCTCCTGAAAGTTTTCTATGTCTGTAGAGACAGAAGTTTGTTCTATGTTGATACATAGGTTAGATCTAATACATCTACTCTCTTAATCGGGTTATCGGAAGACTGAAGTTTTATGTGACCAAATCATCTAAGGCGACTCTCTCTAATCTTATTTGCCACACTTATCCTGTTTAGAAGTAACTAGGTTTTTTTTTTTTTTCATTCTTATCATGGAGTAGACAAAGAAGCCTCTGCATTGAACATTTGGTTTAATTATTGGGATATTAAGGTTCTAGTCCCTGTATTTTTGCGCTATGTTTTCAGTCTTCAAATGACTGTTTGTCTTGCATTTTAACTATTGAATTCTAAGAAAATAGGAAAAGCTTTAAATCACTGATGCTTGATTTGAATTTTCGCGATTTATGGCTTTTGACAGGCTCAAGTCCATAGGCATGTTCACAAGTTTCGGGAAGTTCAACAATGCACACTTCTATCTATTAAAACAGGTGGTTGTAGTGAAGATTGCTCTTACTGCCCACAATCCTCCAGGTATGACACTGGACTAAAAGCCCAGAGGCTAATGAACAAAGGTGCTGTAGTGGCGGCAGCAAAGAAGGTATATGTGAACTATGGTCTTTTCTTCTCTCCTTTAATTTAACATTTCAGTATCAGGAAACTATCCTTCATTTCCATTGCATGTTTATTAATTATAATGTTAATGTTAGGGGTTTGGTTGTTGAAGCCTTTCTTACAAGGAGGATGATTTTGCAAGTTATTAGTTTCTTGGTCTGTAGTCCTTGATGCATGAGATTGGTGAAAGGATTTCCTATTTTTTGTTTATGCATTTCATTTCCTAACAAAAGATTATTATCATCATCCACATCATCAAAAATCTTATACTAATCATTTGGGGTTGGCTGTATGAATACTCTTCCATTTATTCCCATTGAATGTTAGATGAGATGTTAACTCTATTTTTGCTTTTTTTGTAAATATATTATACTCATGTTACCTTAGGCCCACCCCTTTTTTGTCCTAATTCTTTCGCTTTAATCCTATCTACCCGCCTTTATTGGTGTATTTATTGTTGCAAATCCTTATCTTAATATTTACTATATTTTGTTTGATAGATATACTCCCTTTGCTACCCTTCTATAGTTATTCACATTATTTTTCTTAGCTTTGCTGAGCGTCAACTGCTTTTTATTCTCTCTTTTTTGCCACATGTTGTTTGGTTTTCAATGACTTGCAAAAACTTGTGGCCATATTGCATAATAGGTCCAATTGTAGTTATACAAAAATACAACTTAAATATCCATATATTATCTTATCTTATCTTACACTACTTCTGAGATAAATTTTTATTGCAACAATTCAATTTTGTACATTGCAAGTTTTTCCCTCAGCTATTTTCTTATTCTTAGTTCAAAGATAATTGAACTTATCACACCTAGTTCCTTGGTCTTACACTCTTACCAAATATTGTCAGATAATAGTTATAAAATTGAATTTAACATCCACTTAATTTCATGCATAAACTTGTTATTTGTCATCATAATCACATGCCCCTTATTGAAAAGTTTATTTCGCCATTCTTATCTTTATCTTGTTTTGAAAGATTATTTCTCCACCATTAGAACAAGGGAACAATGTCATCAACAAAGAACACAAGGTGTCATATTTCTTTTGTAAGCATCTCCTGCAACAATGAAAGAAAGGAAAAATAATAGACTTAATGTTGTTCCTTAGAGGGTGAGCCTAGAGCAAATGTTTTGGTTGCTTCCAGGGTGATATGGTGGTCACATTTTTCAATCTTGGAAGCAACCTCTATGTAATGTGCAGAAAAAGCTATGTGCATCAACCTATTTTGAAACCTTTCACCTTTTTTTCTTAATGCTTATCCATGTTGTATTTTGGTTGTGATTGAAATGTAATAATTTGAGCTGACGAATGTCAATTTCAATACCTGGAGTCGTAGAGGGACGAATAAGGCAAAGAGCTTGTCTGGCACTTGTTATCGCAATCAATTTTGTACCTAGTGTTGAAGAAGATGAAGTGGAATCGAATAATTTTCGCTATTTTGGAGTTGCGAAGTAGTTCAACCCTAGGTGTCGGGAGTCGCTTCTATCAGTTTTGTTATTCCCGTCGCTTAGAGTCAAGGGAGACGAAAGACCTTTAAATTACCGAGAGATGCAGGGGAAAAACAGCGAATTAGCTATATATATAGAGAGAGATTGTCAAGCAGAAATCAAGGGTGATGAGGTCATACTCAAGGGCAATGAAGTCGTGCAATCAAGAGCAGCAATCATGCAAGTGTGAGGTATTCACCCTAGGACGGGCACTGCAGTAAGAGAAAAAGATTCATTGGAAGTGAAGGAAATGTTAGTTTTCTTTTATAATGAAATTTGTTATTATTTTTTGTAGTAAAGTTTTAATGGGATAAGGGAAGAGTAGAAGATACATATATAATTTTTTATATTATTATTTAGTTTAAAAGTATTAATTTAAAATTTAGATTCTTTTAATTATAAATAATAGTCAATGGTGAATTCATTAAAAAAACAAAATAATGAGTGAAGTTACATATGATGTATTCTTTTTATTTAAATGAGAGAATATAAAAATATAGATATATGTTAAAGGATGAAAATTATTTTGTAAGAGTACATTTAAAATATCATTTATTTTAGAAAATAATAAGAAATAGAATGTGATTCATATTTTTAAAATGATTAGTGATAAATTTATATATAGAGAAAGGAGAGAAAGAGGGAGAGAGAGAAAGAGAGCAAAGTTATATAAATGACTTCTAATAACTAAAAGTCTAATTTAGAAATTAGATTTACAGACTAGAAATTTTCAAGTTAATAATATCTTGTAAAAAAATAAGAATAAGTTAGAAGAGGTATTGTTACTATGCTTACTATGTTATTTTATGAAGTGAATGAAATAGGTCTGTAAAACTAGAGTTTCATATCTTAATCTTATATCTTTTCTAATAATTGTAGAAGGAGATTGATATTCATTTCATTTTTGTAGTTTTGATGTTTACTTTCAGGCCAAGGAGGCTGGAAGCACACGTTTCTGCATGGGAGCTGCTTGGAGAGATACAGTTGGAAGGAAAACTAATTTCAGTCAGATACTGGATTATGTTAAAGAAATAAGGTATGCTTAAAATTTCTAAGTATAAAGTAGCTTTTGTTGTGAGTTGTTAAGCTGGGCTAAAAAGTTTTTCACTTTTTTTCCGCATTATTCCTTTACTTCTGAACCAAATTATTATGTCTTACCATACACTTCTCCTTAGCGATATCATTAATCCTTTATGCTATCTAAAAATAGTTAAAAAAAAGTGTTAATTCATGCATGATATTACATTTGGACAATCTCTGGTTGTTACATTAACCTGATTGCTGAATATGACTATTTCTGGACAATTTTATTTTTGAAAGCCAGACATACTTGCCAAGTGTTTCTAAAATTTATTTTAAGAGTTTAAGAAGGATCTTTAATAGCAATTCGACGGACTTTTAGTAAGTTGTGAGTTACTCATGTGTCCCCTCATTACCTAAAAGATTTCAATATATATATATATATATTTGTAACTACCATACTTACTATTCAATGAACAATAAAGACTGATGATCTAAGATGGACTTGAAATGTTGCTTATTAAATAACAAAATTTTAGCCATCTTTTATAATTGTGATGTTTTCAAAATGCAATGAATATATTGAATCTCAAGGAGATACTGTGTGCAGCACAAATTTCAGTAGCATAACAACAGAACGGGTTGATTTTTACAAATTTTAGAGACATCCACAATATACACTACTGATCAACACCAAGCATATTCAAACTATTAAATCTAATTATATCGATTCTTAGATCCACTAAAATACCATGTACACGGAACAAATTATCACAAATCACAATCACATACATCATTAAGAATTCGAAGTCTCATTTTTAGGAAAATGTGAATGAGTGAATTACCACTCATCATGCAACTAAATCATATTTTAATAATTATGAGGTAAATAACTGGAATATACATTATGGTAAGGTCCTTAAAAATTATAGGTTAGCATATTCATGCAAGATGACAAATAAATATTCAAACATCTAGTAGTGTGTCAAAGCTGAATGTTAAGAATATAAAAAGAATGCACGTATAGTTTGAATTAGATTATGTCAGATCCATTCATCATATTTGATGGAGTGGAAAGAAGGAACTCCATATACACAATTTGAATATGGAGGGCAGTTGATTGGCCTCACAAATAGTTTTCTTTCATCCATCAATAACCAATTTCAAACCACGAGCTCTTGTTTATAGAAATTAAATTTACAAGGAGAAGGCCAAATAATTTAAATTCAAATTTAAATCGAAGTGATAATGTGCTAGCTTCTAAAGTTCATCTTTGGTCATTTGAGAGGTTTGGTGTTCCACTTGACAAAAAACTGTATAAATATTTTTTCCAAGTACCATTTCATACATGGATCATTAGGAACGTGGAATTTGAATGTGGGATCTGGAGAAGCAACAACCATACTAATTTCTCTCGTTTAGAAGAATCAATAGATAATTTTTGAGGTTTGAATGCTCCTTAATAAGATAATGTATCTTCAATTTTGAAATTAGAATTTACAAAACATTTCAGGAGGATAAACCAAAACATGAGTTTTAGAATTGATTTTCCGACTTATTTAGAAGGAACCTGAGTCATTGATGTAATTTATTATATTTTGTTTGTATGAAGCATTCTAGATGTATACACATATTGCTAAGATTACTTTCATTATAGTTCTCAGCACTTCGCATCTCAATCACAACATTAGAATATTTCATATTATTCAGTTGAATTTGTTTTGTAATGCATCGTGCGATCATGTACATGTTGTACAAATGAAAACAAAATAAAAATTTGCATGCAGTGATAAAGAAACAAGATCTATAGGGTTTCTGTGGTCTATCCTTAAATAATCCCACATGATGCTTTGTCCTTAGCTTTATATACAATATCACCATATGTAAATTTAACAATAGGAAGATGCCAATGCAAAATTTAGATTTTTTCCAACTAGAGAAACATTAGTGGTTGTACCAATTATTTCTTTAAGGTATTTTAGAAATAAGAAATAATATAACATTTCTATTAGATACTATGACTTTGGAAACCCATGTAGTTTTACTGTTTCTCTAAAAAAAGTACTGCTATATAAGATACATTACTAATCATTGAACATTGAATAAAGTGAGCTGTTTTGGAAAATCTATTTGTTAATGTTAGTATACTATTATGTCATCTGGTAGTTCTTGCCAGTTCCAGCACAAAATTCATAGATAAGTCTACCCAAAAACATCAAAGGGACAAGAGAAGTGTATATGTTTGCATATTTTCAATAGTTTTGCCTATCTGACATGCTCGACACACATCTGGCATGACATGCATGATGCTGACAATCCTATTAATATGTCTTCTAAATGAAGGCTAGCAAAACTTACATTGAAGCAAACATATGTTTTATTTCAACTCATGTGTCTAGCCATGTCACCAAACATGAATTCCCAAATAATATAATCACTAAGAGAGGTTTTGGGAATGCAAAGTTTGCTACCTTTACCTTTGTAAAGATATCCATCTCTAACTATAAAGGTTATAGAAGGAACATGTCACATATCCATATGATCGAGATATTTCAAGTGAAAGTCAAGACGTGCCAATTACTCTTCTCACATTGTCTTAAAAATTCACACATTTGTATGTATAGAAGTTCAGACTTCAGAGTAGGGAAATGCAAGGCAGTGCATTCATAGTTTTATTCTTAATGCTAGGTGTATTGATGTAGGATGTCTTAGGGTTTAAGGTTCACTAATCCCAAGATCATTTTTATTCCAGGTGGGCTTGATCGAGTAAAGCCAAAGACGTCCCAACAAGACAAGGTACAACTAGGATATGATCAATATAACCTGGCTGGATTTAGGCTGGGATAGTGACTCACATGCTAACTAGTTCCAAAGAGGTTCGATCATGCTGGAGGGAGCATCCCACTTAGTGATCAGTCTGTTAGTTCACTCAAATCAAGTTTTTTATTCCCACTCAAATCAAGTTATTGTGGACGAGAGCCACATTTAGGGAAACTTGCATGTGTGGTTCTAGCCAGGCTTTCCTTAGGTGCAAACTTAGGAAGAGGCACAAGGAATATAAAATAATTCATTAGTTTCCTAACTATTTAATTTAGTTAAGATCATCCTAACTTTTACTTCGAGAAAGATCTATTTTAATGCTAATTCAGAAAAATGCACTTTATTTGTCATATGAAATTTGAGAACATATATTAAATTTTGCTGGAGTTAAAAGTTCACTCTAGAAAATAGAAACTAGCATGTAATAAACTTTAAAATATCTCAGTTATGCATGCAAACTAATTATTAATAATTTAGAACAAACAACAATATGAAAAATCACCAATTAGAAAATTTGAACCTCATGCCAACAACAACAGCAACAAGAAGTCTTTATCCCACTACATGAGGTGGGCTACATGAATTCTTTTTCTCCATTGCATCCTATTAAGAGTCAAAATCTCATTTAAATCTAATAAAAACGTCATTTATAAAACTTTCTAACCAATTTTTTTAGGTCTAACTCTACTTAGCATAGGTCTGATCTAATATATCTAATATCCTAACAGGGTTATTAGAAGGCTAGCGTTTTATATGGCCAAACTATCTAAGACAACTCTCTCTAATCTTATTTGCCATAGGAGCTACACCAATCTTTTCATTTATATAATCATTTCACTTTCTATCTCTAGATGTAAAGCCACTCATCTACTCAGGCATCCTCATCTTTGCAACACTTAATTTGATTTAATTCTCTTTTAATGGCTAATATTTTGCACTATATAGAATTGCAAGTCCCAACAACATTTTATAAAATTTTCTCTTAAGTTTGAAGGGTACTTTTCTTTCACACAACATGTCCGATGCATTTCTTTACTTCAACCAGATAACTTGAATTCTACTAATAATATTCTCATCTATTTCACCATTGCTTTGAACAATAGACTCGAGACATCTAATATGTGCACTATTTTTGATGACTTGATCACCCAAAGCCACAATCCTCCCACTAATATTACTGCTAAAATGGTTTTAGATAAATTCAAACAGATATATTTAGACTCTAAGGTTGATCTTTGTGATTCAAGTTTTTCATTAACTTGCTCTCTGGTCTTATCAACAAGAAGAATATCATCAGCTAAAAGCATATACCATGGTATATCCTCTTGCAAATGTCTAGTAATAACATCTATTGCTAATGCAAAATGATATGGGCTTAAATCTGATCCTTGCTGTAATTTATTTGAAATAGAAAAATATTTGGTCAAACAAACTTGTGTATGAACACAAATAACAGCTCCTATATACAGATCTTTAATTAGCCTCATTCCAGTACAAAGAAAATCAGTGGCCATGAGAAATCAATAGAATTAGAATCCCAACTGTATAAAATCACATCAGACTGGCTTGTGGCATTGATGATTACCCATCTTTATATTTAGTTCCTCTAGTAGCTCTCAAAACATTAGGAGAAGGATTAGTGGGTTTGGGTTCTTGAAGACCGATAGTATCAAGCTTATTAAGAAAGGCACCTTCTTTAACCATCATACTTTAATGGAAAAGCTCATTTATCTAAAATTCCAAGATTTAATCTTCATGAGCAATCTAAGTACTCAACTTCAAAGTAAACAGATTTTTCCGTCTGGAAGTTTAAAAATGCTTCCTGCGGCCATAAATGAAGATGATTTCCCCCATCGCTTGGAATCAGATTGAGAAGTGTAGCATGAACTAGAAGAGTTATAAATATCTGGAAAAGATGATTTTATTTTCCAACCTCCATATAGATCAGGAATAATTTTCTTTATGAAATAAATAAAAAATATCTTGGCTCTTGCTTGAGTAGAGAAAGGTTATGGGAAAAGTGATTTAGGCATAGAGATAGAACAGAATTTTGTCCCCAAAGCTATAAGAGTCTCCCAAGATTTTTTTTTTCAAACAAATCTTTTTTCTCCACATTCATTTCAATCATTAAAATGTAAATCTCGTAGACCCAAGAGAATCTGTCTTATTGCCTTCCAAAATCTTCACTTCAGTGATTGAAATATCATGGAAAGAACATTCATTCTTTTAGTTGGCCATTCAGGAATCAGATCCTGAAAAATTTGCCATAGTGAAAGGTTTTGTGGACCCAAGTTGGAGAAGGTAGCTTCTCCAGGTTGTGGCCCCCCCCCCCCAACACACACACGCACACCAACGTACAGGCGTAGTGGGTTAAAGGCTTGTTATTGTATTGAGTAGTGATAACACTTTTCCCTTTTGCTGTAGAGTCAGAAGAATGATTGCTTTCTTTATTTGTATAATGAGCTGTTTATTAATCGTTCCTCAATATATTAAAAAATTAACCTCAAGAGAATTAACAGGTTTATCAAGAAGGCCTTAGTCTGTTTCCGTTTACTGAGATCAGGAGAGGTAGAATTAGGGGTGTAAGTGAGCCGATGATGTAGGAAAAACTTGCCTATTGGTTTTCCCCATGTTGTTCGTTCCCTACCCTTTCTATTTCCTATGTAATGATGGCTCCAAAAGGAGAGGTGATTGCTGGTTTCCTTGGCAGATTTATGGTTGCTGTTTTCCCCATGCTGTCCGTTCCCCTCCCTTGCTATTTCCTATGTATTGATGGCTCCAAAAGGAGTGGAGTCTGCTGGTTTCCTAGGCAGATTTATGGCTGCTATTTTCTCTATTTTTATCTATATATGGGGGCTGTTTTGATGTAGAAAAGAGAGAGTTATGTGATAATTTTTGGAGCATGAAACCTGCGGGTTTGTGTTAGCTTGCGAGCTAACTTCTTTTCCTTTTCTCTTATATTTCACCTCGGTTTCCTATCTCTTTCTTCTTTTCACGATATCCACTCCACATGTATCCTTCTTCTTAAGTTTTTAGAAGTTGTAGTGTTCCTTTGTTTTTAATATTATTGATATCTTGTTTATGTTTGTCTATGTTTTAAGGAAGAAAGTTGTCTTTTAGTTTACAATCTTAATGTTATATATATTTTTTTATTGCATCAACAGAGCCGGCTCGAACTGGACTCCTTAAAGAGCTCACGAGTCGAGATTATTGAGCCATGAGTTCGGATTTGAGTTCGAGCTTGATGAGACTCAGCCCGCGAGCCAACTCGTAATAATATAACTGATTTTTAAATTAACTAAATATTTTTTCTCTAAACAAAATACGTACATAAACCCCAAAAGAAAATAAATGATGCTTTTTAAGAAATGTATAGCTGGATTTGAAAAAAAAAATAATTTTAAGGCTGCCAACCATTAGTAAACTAAAGTGAAGTACAACAGTTTTTTGGGAAAATAAACTGCAGCATTGAATAAGGGAAAAAAACTATTGCTATTCCCTAAGAAATAAAAAACAAAACTATTTCTCCTCTTCTCATGCAACAGCCACGCAACCTCTTTCTTCTCAGACAAATGCGAATACGCGATAAGTGATCGTCCGCTTTGATGGGATCTCACGAGCTACTCGTGAGCTCGTCTTTACCACGACGAGCAAAGCTCGACTCTAGTTCGAGCTCATAATTTGGCCAATGGGTCGAGCTCGAGTTATGCATGACTTGAGCGCGACTTGACTTGTTTTCACCCCTTGGTAGAACCAATCAAAATTTTCTTACCATCTCTGCCATGTGCAGTAAAAATATTAATATCATCCGGAGTTTCATAAGAATCATTACCAAGAAGGATTATTTTTGTAGTGTAAGCATGTCTTAGGCTACAACAGAATAAATTTTATATAAATCATATCATCAACGAGAACAAGAACTTTGGTCTCCAATAAAATAGCAATTGTCTGCACACAAAACAAAAACAAAAGCCATAATATTTCAACATTTGCTCTTTTACAGTCCCTTACTGTTGAATGGACATCATGTTATGCAAAATCTCTTGCATTAAATTTTATGAGGATTTTTGCAGTCTTTGCTCTAACATTTCTAGCAAGATTTGGGCCTGTGGCAAGCTGACGGTTCAAGGCTATCAGTGTCTTCATCTGGTGGAACCACTGCTTCATGCTTCTGTTGCACCATGCTTTTCAATATCAAACACTTTAGCATTTGGTTTGGTTTTTTTAATGCAAGCAGCTAAATCTTCTCAGCGCTCTTTTTTCTCACCCATCTCTTCTGGTTGAACTTTAAACACATCACTCATTCTTCTTTTTGATACCTCTTCTTCACTTGGATTTTGGTCAAAAACAATATCCAAGCTTTACATCATTACTGGACTGATACTATTTATAAGTATTTTCTCATATCAAAAGGACAAGGCATTCAACTTTTCTTTGTCTACCGGTTCATTCTCCTTTTACTCTCTCTTCCAATGCCCGGTTTTTTATGCTAAATTTCTTTGAATGTAATTTGCTATTGTAACCAATGCTGCAGGGACATGGGAATGGAAGTTTGTTGCACACTGGGTATGCTTGAGAAGCAGCAAGCGTTAGAGCTTAAGAAGGCTGGCCTTACTGCATATAATCATAATCTTGATACTTCAAGAGAGCACTATCCAAATATAATAACCACCAGAACATATGATGAAAGGTTGGAAACGCTTCAATATGTCCGTGAGGCAGGAATTAGTGTCTGCTCAGGTAGTTTATTTTCTTTAATTTACAGCAAATTTGTAGTAGTTTTTTAAGCAAAGAATGGTTGATGGAATTTCTTTTGGGGCATATTTTAGTATCAATAACTTCGTTGCAGTTTATGCCATGTAATTACTGTACTGTCCCATTAGAGAACATGCTGCTCTAAACCATTACTAAATTCAGTTTTGTGATTGCTTAGACTTAGGTTCTGAGATGGTCTTGCCGTTAAAGGAATTTATTTATCTTTTGAAATTGCAGAAATCCTACGAAAAGGTTCGTTGTTTATATTATGAAATGACATGCTGTTCACTTAAATTCAGGAGGAATTATTGGTCTCGGTGAAGCGGAAGAAGATCGTGTGGGTTTATTGCATACACTGGCAACCCTTCCTAACCATCCTGAGAGTGTTCCCATTAATGCTTTGGTTGCAGTCAAGGGTACGCCTCTTCAAGATCAGAAGGTAATCTTTAGGCTCTCTTTTTGTAAAATGGGGATGTACTAGAGCATATTTCTGATTTTTTAGGTGGTAAAACTCCTTTTCTTTTTGTTGCAATGCTTTATAATGTCTACTATGTTAGGGACATTTAATTAGAAAATGATAGATTTATTTCTTAGGGGCTGGTGGCAAATTTTGAGCATGATTTAAGCAAGATTGAACTCAAAATCTTGCTAAACAGTAAAAGATAAGAACTTAAACCCTCCAAAATGTTAAATTTTATTTCTCCCCCTATTTTATCCTAAATCTTTGATTTACTAAATCTGGGTATTTAACCAATTTTAGCTTAAATATGCGGAGTCTTACGAACTCCTCTTTTCCTTCACACATTAGTGATCCCATCAATGCCATTCCTACTATCACGACCCGGCCCGGATACTCGAATTAATGTAACAGGACCATGCTGTAAATTTGTTTCTTTCAAATGCATAATCAGTTAACAACTAACATCTCATAAAACTGAAAAGCCAATTATAAAATTGAACATATATATAAATCAGATTTTTACCTGTTTGCGTCGACCATCTTTGATCATGTTCTTATGTAAACGTATTCCTCTTTTTCAGCCATTCTGTTTTTTCAAAGAACTTTCCTGAAAATTTGGTTTAAAAGTTTGAGTTTACATAGTAAATTAAGTGGATACTCACGGCTTGTAGTATAGCAGTTAAACATATATAAAAGTAATCATGCGCATTTGTCTTTCTTATGCAGTTAACTTGTTCTTTACATTTCATATGCTGTAACATATTCATAACCTTTCAATTTGCTTTAGATTTTCATTATATATCTTTTAAATTTTTTTTTTCATTTTATTTATTTATTTATTTTTATTTATTCTTTTCCCTTTCCATTTAGTATAGGAGCATTGTCTAAAATTTTATACCAATGAATGTACAACCATTTCCATTTCTATTTTCATTTAAAGTGCATGAATATGTTGCGTCCCCTGTCAGTACCATAATTAGTGAACTCCTGTATTTGCATGAATGCAAATTTTTTTTCTTTTACTACTTTTCATTTACATGCTATAAATTCTTTATTCATTTCATTTTTTTCCTTTCCATGCATTTTAAACAAGACATACTTTTCACACACATGGATTCACATTGCATTGTAAATTTATTAGTTAATCCTTCATCATTTTGGACATAATAGACATTTAAATATAATAAATAAATAAGCAGGATCTTGTACTAAAATTGAAATAAAAATAAAAGAATATAATTACTATAAAATAATTTTAACTACTCACTTTAATTACTTTCTTGCTTCAGTTCCTTTCAAATTCTTGATCCTTGAAATAACCTTCTTTAATACAACCAATAATCATGTACACAATTATATAATATATATAATCACACTAAAACTATATTTCCATCAAATTTTGAATAAGTTGTGCATTAACATTTAAGTCTCTGTTACTTATTTGTTTCCTAGAACTCTTGTTGGAAATCAATACTTTATCTCCGTTCAACAGTCAATTCATTCATTCAATTAATCTTCCTTTTTGTGAATCAAAGATTCACTGTCTATATAAATCCCAAAATTTCAATTCAAAAGCAAATATTAAATTCCTTCATCTATAAAATAAAATAAAATAAAATAACTTATCTTTCACTAAAGTAGTTTAACACTTCCTTTTTCTTCTTTTCTTCATTCAACTTTGCTAAATTAAATAAACGAAACTATTTTATACAAGAATTTGCATCGACTACTGGTTAATTTCTAAAATTATTGAAAGTTAACTATTCTTAATTTATATTAAATTAAATCAAAATACCTCGGTGACCTTGCTTCCAATTTTCTCTCTTTGCTCATAATTTCTTCTTCACCTAAGCAATAATAAAATAAGGAAATAATTTACTTAACTATTTTAGTAATGGAGAAAGAATATAAACATTTTACAAGCACCGTCTTCATCTTCCTTACCTATTTTCTTTTTCTCTTCTCCATAATTTCCTTTTCTTTCTTCTCCATCATTGCTTCTTCTCATTCAGAACTTTCCTTCGATTGTTTGGTTCACTGGAGCGAGCAAAAAGAAGTTATCTACCATGAGGAGTCGATGCTTTTCACTCCAGAACGAGATCCTCACTTAAACACACTATTCGACCCTACTAGCCACTTCCGCCCTCGCATGCGGCCCGTATGACTCGCTGACCATGTTCTGCTTCATCCGTGGTTTTGCTTGCCTGCTTAGTTAGGTGTCTGGTTCAGTTGAGCCAGAACAGCTGGGTATTACATCTACTAAGCTCCCATCATGACTTTGATGCATTTTGGATGTAAAAACAACTATATAACAAGTAGAAAACTGGAAGAATTTGAAGATAGGGGCTAAATTTGATTAATACTTCAACAATAATGAAAGATTCAATTGATCTATTATTTGAGAGGTAGATGTTGACCTCTAACTGACGGAGAACCCGACCGAATTCACCTCAGCAACGATCGATTCCACAACTGCCCATGATCGGACACAACCACCCACGTCGTTCCCACGATCACACTCCTCTCGGCAAAAACCGCTCCTCACAACACAAAATGACTCCTCTCATTCGGTACTCACTCACGCATACAGACGCTCTCAGACACGCACAGAGATAGGGAAGAAAAAGGATTTGAGGCTTACAGTGACTCAAACACCGGACTCCGGCAAACAACTCCAACCGCAATCACCTCTGACCTTGCTTCTGTCGACCTCCAGTCCCTCTACAACTCTCAAGCCGAACGCCCCCTCCATCTCCGACTCTAGACGCCAAAGTCGCCGTGCCCTAGATCCACTTGA